GGACGGGATACAGGAGTCTTAGGAACCACCTTAACTACCGGGCCAGATGCTCACCCCCACAGTCACATTCGAGGACCATGGGGAAACAGCTACATACATAGCAGGTGCGTAACCCTGAATTAATGAGAAACAGGCACCCTTCTGAGCAGCCTGTTTCTTGGTCTGTAAAAAGAGACTCACCTGGGAGTGCACGGAGCCTTGCAGTTTCCTAAGCACTTCCCCTCTCTCCTCTCACTTAAGCCCCCAGCACGGTCTTGTGAGGGGCCCTACAAGCCCAGAAAGTCACCATCCTGTTTTCTGACCATGAAACTGGGGTCCCAGCGAGAAAGTGAATTCCTAGGACCATACAGGAGAAAGCACCAGAGCTGAGACACGAGCCCAGCACCGGCCCTGGCCCTAGACTTAGCATTTCCTTTACACAGCTCACCTGTGCACCGGCAGCGAGGAGGAGGTGAACTCATTCAACCAGAACCTGATTTGGAGGCTCACAAGTTCACCACCTGGGTGGAAAACCGCCCAGCACAAGGGAGCATTTTCAAGTCAAATCTGGGGCAGAAGGATGCAGGCACCGATCCCAGATGGGCTTGTCAGCTGTACGGAGGTAAGAGACGGAGCCACGTCGGTGCAGCAGCAGAAAGGATGGCCTGCACGCAGGCTCTAAACGGGGGGGGGGGGGGGGGGGGGGGGGGGGGGGGAGGTACTGACCTACTGCCATGCCCACGGGCAACCAGCTGCTGCCTAATCTCCCATGCCACCCCTATCCTGTGCCTCTAGTTGTCCTGCTAACCTGAGCTCCTCCCCAGGACTCCTTGGACCACCATCCAGATCCAATGAGGGGGCTGGTGCTGTGGCGTAGTAGGTTAAGCCTCTGCCTGCCAACACCGGCATCCCATAGGAGCTCTGGTTCATGTGCCGGCTGCTCCACTTCCGATCCAGCTCTCTGCTTATGGCCTGGGAAAACAGTAGAAGACAGCCCTAGTCCTTGGGCCCCTGCACCCGTGTGGGAGACCTGGAAGAAGCTCCTGCCTCCTAGCTCTGGATCAGCTCAGCTCTGACCATTGTAGTCATTTGAGTAGTGAACCAGCAGATGGAAGATCTCTCTCTATCTCTACCTCTCTCTGTAACTCTGCCTTTCAAATAAATAAATAAAAAGAAATCCAATGAAACTCTTAGAAGAAGGTATCTCTGGGGTGGCAATGAAGAAGAGTTTGTCAAATCCTTTAAACGTCAGAGAGCCAGGATCCCACTCCTCTGATGACATCCAAGAGAGCTGAAACCTTGGCATCTCCCCAAATCCTGGGCACAGATGTTATAACAGTTTTACTTTTTTTTATTTTTTGACAGGCAGAGTGGACAGTGAGAGAGAGAGAGAGACAGAGAGAAAGGTCTTCCTTTGCCGTTGGTTCACCCTCCAGTGGCCGCTGCAGCCAGCGCACCGCGCTGATCCGATGGCAGGAGCCAGGTGCTTCTCCTGGTCTCCCATGGGGTGCAGGGCCCAAGCACTTGGGCCATCCTCCACTGCACTCCCTGGCCACAGCAGAGAGCTGGCCTGGAAGAGGGGCAACCGGGATAGAATCCGGCGCCCCGACCGGGACTAGAACCCAGTGTGCCAGCGCCGCAAGGCGGAGGATTAGCCTAGTGAGCCGCGGCAACCCTGGGTTCATCAGCTGAGAGATGCAGAAATAAAATGTGCTTTATACTTGTACACAATGGAATACTATTGAGTGATAAAAAGGAATGAATTATTTATATATGTTATGACGTGATGAACCTTGAAAGTTAGGCTACGGGGCTAGCACTGTGGCATAGGGAGTAAAGCCACCACCTGCGGCACCAGCATCCCATGTGGGCACTGGTTCAAGTCCTGGCTCCTCCACTTCCGATCCAGCTCTCTGCTTATGACCTGGGAAAGCAGCAGAAGATGGTTCAAGTTCTTGGGGCTCTGCATCCATGTGGGACACCTGGAATAAAGCTCTTGGCTCCTGGCTTCAAATCTGCCCAGCTCCAGCTGTAGCAGCCATTTGGGGAGTGAACCAGCGGATGGAAGACCTCTCTCTGTCTCTGCCTCTCTCTCTCTCTCTCTGTAACTCTGCCTTTCAAATAAATAAATAATAAACTCTTTTTTAAAAAAATTTAGACTAAAGGCCACAAATCATATGCTTCCCTGTGTATGAAATGTCCAAACACGCAATTATGTACAGTAAATTAGTGATTGCCAAGAGCTAGTGAAGGGAAAATGGCTGATAACAGCTACAGGCACCCCTAAGGTTAGGAAAATGCTTGGAATTCAACAGCTGGGTGGCACAAGTCTGCATACAAGACACCACTAAACCGTATACATTTAAAATGAGCTTTATGACATGAAAATTCTATGTCAATAAAGCTGTTTAGGTTTTTTTAAGGTCATTACAGTGAACCAGAAAGAGTTTATTGTAGCTTAAACTAGGATGATATCACTGAAGGCATTTGGGGGAAGTCGACAAACAAGACTTGACAACCCATTGGCTGTGGAGGGAGGATAGGAGCGGGAATTCAAGAATGACCCTTCGGTTTGGGCATGAATGAAAAGACAGAGGGCAATGCCATTTAAGGAGGGTGGCATGCAAAGAAGCAGGTGGGAGACAGAGGAAAGTGCCTGGATCACTGGGGTTGCATTGCTTTTGAGATGTCTGCAAGGCAGCTGGAAGAAGACCCTGAACACATAGCTGAATGTGCATGTTAGGTCTGGGCTTTTAGCAGGGAGGTGCCTGCTCTCACTGCCCTGTGTCTTACAGAGGCACCAAAATTGGGGAGGGGGCATGGGAGGAGCGGGGGCCCAGCAGAGCATCTCCCAGGGTGGCTCTCTCAAAGCAGTACAGTTCCCTGCCTGGGGATGGCAAGACAGGGGAGAGGGCTGGGGGAACCTGGGGGTCTCCACATACAGCTATGTCTATTCAGAGGTGTTCTCTGGGATGCACTGTGAGAATCTGCATGTCTGGGAACCCTCCCCCACCCCCATGCCCTGCATGACCCGTGATGCTTCAGGCACCACCATCCTGTTGCAGGTGTGTGTTGGGGGCAGAGGGACCCGCTCACGTCCTGTTGCACCCTCCACCTGTGACCCATGTACTTCCCTGTACAAAGTAAGGAGCAGCCAGCACAGTTCACTGGATTCTAGTTGAATCTTTCTCTAAGCACTGTTCCCATCCCTGCCCTTTTCTTTGCCCCTGATCTTCTGTGGTGCTAGTGTTGGGGACAGGGGTGTTTAATGTTGGGAGCAGCCATAAAGGGCAGATCTGCCCAGAGGCCTGCAGCCTCAGGACGCTGAGGGCAGCAGGAACAAGTGGGAACCTATTTGCCCCTCCCCTCCTCCTGGGCTAACGCACAGTGCTCTCCCTGCAGATTGAGGTACCCTGCCCCCTCCAGGCCCTAACCTGCTTTTCTATGCTGTTTTGGGGCAAGTACAACGGTCATAGTTATGGCTTTAGGATGGGTTTTATTTATTAAAATCCTATTTCTCCTAAAAAAAAAAAAAAGACTGTGCTGATCTGAGATATAAACGTGTGGGTTTAAACTTTTTAGTATTTACTTTCTCTTTATTTGAAAGGCAGAGAGCGAGAGAGAAAACGCCAAAAGGATCTTTAATCTGGGGGTTCACTCCCCAGATGCACACAACAGCCAGGGCCAGACCAAGCCAAAACCAGGACTCTCATCTATAGCCACTTGTGAAAACAATCTCACAGTTTGTTAAAAATTTAAACATATACCTAGCATAAGACCCAGACATTCCTCTCCTGGATACTTCCCCAAGAAAAATGAAAACAGGTGTCCACACAAAGACTTAAACACATTCGTAGCAGCTTTGTTTAGAATAGTACAAACTGGAAACAACAAGTGAATGGATAAACAAATTGGAGCATATCCATATAACAGAATACTATTTAGCAATAAAGAGGAATTAATAAAAAGTCTCTTGCTATCACAACATGAATGAATGTCAAAATAGTTATGCAGAGTAAAAGCAATCAAACAAATGAAGAAGAAAGACTACATTGCATTATTTCATTTATGTAAAGTACAAACTATAGCGACATAAAAGGGATCAGTGATGGCTTCTGGAGAGTGAGAGGGGAAGGATTCGGCCACAAGAGGAGTGTGATGAAACCTCCAGGAGCGATAGATATGCTAATTATCTTGACATGGTGAATTGCAAAATACCCTTGGAGACAGCCTGGCAGCACTATATGAAGAACCATAAAGACGTTTGTGGTCCCATAAATCCTGCTCTCAGGAATTTGTCTTCAGGATATTCCAAAAGAAATAAAAAGTACTTTATACAAACACATTCCTGGCACCATCACCTCCATCAAGGATATGGGAAATGACCTAACCGCCAGTTACCCTGAAAGGGTTAAATCAACACTAGCAGATTCATTCACAGCTACAGAGGAGCAACAGGTAGCTATGTTTACAAAATAATGCAAATGTGCTGTGCACAAAGACCACAGACTCGCACACATGTGGTTACATCTATGTAAACATACACACACTGGATATGCATAAGAACACAAAGGAGAAAAGAAAAAAAAAAAGAACCTGGGGAGTGAATGACAGGTCATTGGCATGCGGGGGACTTTTGTCTTCCTGGTTTGCCTCCTGCGAAGTTACAATGTTTTCATAACAGTTTTTAAAATGCCTTCTTGTTGGTCTTGGCTCAGTGTCCCGGCCCCGCGATTACACCGAGCCTGTTAGTGGCCAGCATCGGCACCTTGACGTGGTCAGCCACCAGCTGGATCACCTCGCCTGCTGTCTGCTAAGCCAGCGACAAAACGTCCAAAAGCCCTAGGGCCTGGCGTGAAAGACTCTTGCTTTCCTTCTCCTGGAAATCATTTGTCACTGTTCACCTGTTCAGGTTATTTCCACACCATAAATAACAATTTTTAGAAACCCAGTTCACAAGGCAGGGCCATGGCGAGACTGGTCCGCGAAGTGCATGTGGGGGAGAAGGTGGAGCCACTTACCTGCGCCTCGACGGTCTTGCTCACTCATTGGGTAAAGCCGATGTCAATCATCTCAGGCCAGCCAATGCCCACGCGATCAAAGGCCGCTGCACAAACCAGTAGTATGTGTAGTGGGAAATCTAGGAGAGGGTGAGAACTTTTAAAATGGAAGTGACAGAAACCCGCAGAGGTTTTCAGAGATCCCTGCCTGGCTAATTTCTGGGACCATGCTTTGGGTTGTAGGAGAGAGCCCAGGCTCAGAGAGTTTAGAATACTGAGCCCACTGTGGTAACCGACTGATGCTCCCTAAGCCTTGTCAACTCCATCTGCTGGACATTTACGGAGCAACCATTCCTCTCCTCCCCCTATTTTCTCTCCATGCCCACAGCCCTTGCACACATCCAGGGCTTCACTGCACTGACCCACAGTCCATTTGGCCCCATTACCTGCAGACGGTTTACCTGGCCAGGGCTCAGGGAAGGCAGGGAGACACACACACACCATCTGCCCAGGGTGACATCCCATGAAGGGACTCCAGCCGCAGTCACACCTTCTTCCACACCTGGATTATGTGCAAACCCACATCAGGAAGGCAAGCCCAGACTCCCTAGCCAGCCCCAGGGCCCCAAGAAGTCCTGTCCCAGAAGTCAGGATTGAAGAACACACCCCTGAACCCCTGGAAGCCAGAACCCAACCCAAGGCTGATCTTCCCCCAACCCTCTGCCAGAAGAGCCAGCCAGGTGTGCCTGGGCAGAAGCCAGGGCCACATGCAGATCCAGGACACCAGGGAGACAGGCTGCCCTTGTGAGATGCTCAGCCTCCTGCCAGAAGGGCTACGTCAGCCAAACTGTCCCCAGAAACGGCTTCTCATCTCTGGGCCCCAGGGTCGCCCCAGAGGCCCCTGTACCTGAACCTAAGGTAGAAGGTGCTGTCCTGAGCCCGACTCCCCTCATGCTCACTTATGGCCTGGGAGAGTCCTGCTCCAGGGCCGCTTTGCAACTGCCCACCTGCCTGGACAGCATCTTTCCAGAAACCATGGCTCCCAGACCCACTGCCCCGCCGGCTCTCCCAGATGTGCCCTGCTCCAAGCCCAGTTAGCGATAGGCCCAGGACTTGCCCCAGGCCTTCTGATGCATCCGGACAGTAAGTGTAGGTAAAGTGGTTACAACTGCATCTGCATATAGAGGAGTTATATAGGTGTAAGTCAACCCTAATCTTCACAACTCTTATCACATTAGTATATCCCCATTCCAATTTTTATTTAAAAATTAAAATTTTTTTTCATTTTATTTGAAAGAGAGACAGATCTTCCACCATCTGGTTCACTCTCCATATGCCTACAATAGCTAAGGCTGGGCCAGTCTGAAGCCAGGAGCCCAGAATTCTATATCATTCTCCTGTGTAGGTGGTAGAGACCCAAATACTTGAGCCATTAACTGCTGCTTCCCAGGACACAGTAGCAGGCAACTGGGGTGGAAGCCCAGCAGAGACTTGAACCCAGACTCTGATATGGGGTGCAAGCATCGCAAGCAGGGTCTTTTTTTTTTGTTTTAATTTTTTTGACAGGCAGAGTGGACAGAGAGAAAGGTCTTCCTTTGCCATTGGTTCACCCTCCAATGGCCGCCGCGGCCGGCACACTGTGGCCAGCGCACCGCACTGATCCAAAGCCAGGAGCCAGGTGCTTCTCCTGGTCTCCCATGGGGTACAGGGCCCAAGCACTTGGGCCATCCTCCACTGCACTCCCGGGCAGCAGAGAGCTGGCCTGGAAGAGGGGCAACCGGGACAGAATCTGGTGCCCCGACCGGGACTAGAACCTGGTGTGCCAGCGCCGCAAGGCGGAAGATTAGCCTAGTGAGCCACGGCGCCGGCAAGCAAGCAGAGTCTTAACAGCTGTGCTAAATGCCCCACCCCATCCATTTTATAAATTTTGAAAATTGTTGAGGCTCAGAGTGGATAAGAGACTGGCCCAAGGTTGCACAGCTAGATAGAGGCACAGATAGGGACTGCCCTGAGAGTGGGTGACTTTAAGTAATACTTTCACAAGCAGGCCATGCTGTACCCTGTGCTGGTCATCTGGGTGTCCAGTGGCAGGAAGCCATGTTTCCCACCCTCAAGGAACTGCCAAGAGAATTACAGAGGCACTCACATAACCAAACCACAAATTGTGTGACAAGGGCTAAACTCCAAACGAGCCGGGACAGGCCCGAAGAGGGAGTGTTTGACCTGCTCCAGGAGATCAGGGAGGACTTCCTGCACGAGGAAACATTTGAGCTGAGGAGCGGAGCGTCCCAGCTTTCCCAGGCTGAGGGTCTGAGCATATTCAAGAAAACTGAAGACTTGATAGGGGTGGGGAGTGGAAGGGGACATTGGGTATGGAGGCCCCGGAATGCCAAGCCCAGGAGAATTGTTCTTGAACTTGCAGGTGAGTGACAGCAGCATCAAGACCTTGGAGCAGCCAAGTGGGCAGGGCTTGTGCAGAAAAAACTGACTGGAATTTGCCCTGGGGAGGATGAATGAGAAAGCTGCTTCTCCTCCCCAGGCTATGCAGGGCAGAGGGACAAGCCCACAGATCACCACTCCCAGGAGCTCCAGTGTCCTCCTGGGTAGATGTCCATCTGTCCTGGCCTTGCAAAAAATTGCAAGAAAACTGTGCCATCTTCCAGGAGGCAAGAGGCGGGCACGGGCAGCTGGGACCTGGCTAGCAAGTGTGGTCAGCCCCTCACTCACCCAGCAGGCTCCAGTTGGGAAGGAGTGACTGCAGAGATGTGTCCGGAAACAGAGAGCACCTATGCATGTTCCTAATGAAGACAGATGAGAGGGTGACGTCACTCCCTAGTCCCCAGAGAAAAGGCCCATCACAGGAGGGCACATGCATCCAGGCTCAGTGGTCTTCCAGCCTCAGACCTTGGGCCGGGAGCAGCCAACCAGCCAGGCCAGGGTGCTGGCACCTAACCAGACCCCTCCTCGAGCACCCAGACTAAGCTGCCAGACGAGCCGCCCTGGGGGCTGGCACGCTTGCGGGGAGGCAGCAAGGATGCATCACAGGCCACTGTGGGGAAGGGGGACAAGTGACCACCTCTTCCCACACTTCTGGTGGGGGAACTAGAATCCAGCCTGGTACACCTCCCTTTCCACAAGGGGAGGGGCATGACCCTCCTGTCTTGCAAAACCATGGCTTCTTCCCCCAACAAATGAACACCTCTACTCTGCGTGCAAATCAGTCCCAGAGCAGCACACAGATCTCAGAAGCCTGGACACAGGACGTTCCCCGGAGGGCTGTTCCCCTGAGGGCTGTTCCTGCACTCCGGATCCCAGAATCTCACGGCGTTCGCCCTCAGGCGGGGCTGGAAACACATGGAGTCCCGCCATCGCCCCATCAGGGCTTTCCCAGCTGTGTCCGCCGCCGCACGGTGCGCTCCTTCTTCCTCAGGTGCGCCCAAAGGGTGGGAATCTCTGCTGGGAACCGGGCCCAGGTCGATGCCCTCCAGCCGCCCACCAGTCTGGTCCCCGACTACCTGCTCAGCCTCTGAGGTCCCCGGGGGGGGGGGGGCAGCACTTCCAGTTGCAGGGACTTGTAGGGACCTGGGGTGGCACACGGGCAGGGCTGGCAGAGAGCTAGGGGGGAGAGACACAGACCTGAGCCGAGGTGCTTCCTTTTGGTCAAGCGGGAGGCCAGTCGCCTGGTCCCAGCGAAGCCAGAGTGGGAAGCCAGAGACTCCCCGCTCCGGCCCCGCCCCCGTTGCGGGATGGTAATCCTGTTTGCAGTGTCAAAGTGCACCAATGGAGAGAAGACGCTTGAAGTTCAGGGTAGCACTGGGAGAGTCCACACCCGCTGGGCAGGGGAGGGGGAAGCTGAGGCTCCAAGTCCCTGGCCAGGCCCCCTGCGGGAAACACTTTGCTTTAACCAACCACTGCTTCTTCCCAGGGGCATCTCATTGCAGCGGCAAGTGGGGCAGGTTCGAATTTCCTGAGGCGGCTTGTCAATTTCCCGTATTCCACCCTTAAAGGATGAAGAAAACAATGGCAGGTTGGCAATGTGCCTCACTCCATCCTCTAAAGAACAGATAAGGATCTCCCACTTCACAGAAGGGAAAACTGAGGCCTCCGAAGGGCAGAGGATAGCTCCCAGCCCCGGGCCCATTATGAGCCCTCTACAGCCCCAGCACTGAGAACCGGGGCAGGTGCAGCTGTGCCAGGTTCTGCGGTTCAGGGCAGGGCTGAGGGGTGGACGACACAGGGCTCCCATTGGGGCACTGTCTCACTCTGGCGTTCTCTGGAAACCACCCACTGACCCAGAGTAACGGGGACAGACGTTGGAGATTATGGAATCAGATCTGCAAGTGCAAGGCCTGAGGTTTCCACGGTTGCTGGCTAAGGGGAGTGGTCCAGGCTAGAGAATTAAGAACCAGGGAGGCTCTGAGAACTTGAGCAAAGGCAGGCAGGCTTCAAATCCAAAGGGTTCAAATCCTGTTTCCCGGCTTAGCCCGATGCCTCCCTCTCCAAGATTCCAAGTAAGTCCCTTCCACAGGCCAGTCTCCTCCCGGCTCTCATTTCCAAGAGTTCCTTAAGCAGAAAAGTGGTTACCTCTGCATTGCATCTGGATGTGGGATGTAAAGGAATTTTCCCTAACTCCTTGGATTCCAGGGGCAGCGGCAGGGCGGGGGGGGGGGAGGATAATCTTTAAAAGTGAAGAAAGTAGCTGTTACAGAAGAGCTTCCAGTATATTCTACAGATCCCCAGGAACATGCTCCACCACCCCACTCCACAAATGCGCCTAAAACTACCATGGGGCAGGTTTCCCCAAGGCGTGCGTGCAGGGCTGAAGACTCAAGGGAACCAGACTGGAAGCACCTGCTGCACTCGCAGCAGCGTCAACCCGCCCCTGCTGCACTGGGAGAGTGACTTTCAAGGGGCGGATTCCACCAGATGATTTTCAGTGGAGTCTGTGACCCCACAAACGATAAGAAGCACTGTGGCAGAGAAGGGGGCCGGGGACCAGGACCACCCTGCCCCCTATTCAGGAAACACACAAGGAAGCAAAGGGAAAGCAGGAAACACCCTAGAACGCAGGAGATTTTTAAGTCTGGTTTTGATCTAAACGGGTTAACTCATGATCTCTGGACTCAGCAAATCAGGGAATCCAACTGTTCCCTGGTGTAGTCATGGAATCTCCAAGGTACAGGTTCTTTTGAAATGCATGGTTTGATCTGAACAAACTCCTAGGGACTAGATTCTTAGGGGTCTTTTGTCCATGAAAATCTTAGAATCCCAATCTTGGATGCTAAATCTGGAGCACAGGTATAGCAACACTCGGACAAGGAGGAATCCGAATTCCAGGAGAATGGGGGTCACAAGACCAGGGTGGGGGGCAGGAAATCCTGAGATGTGCGGCTTTTACCTAGAGGCACTGGAAGTTAACCATAGAGAACCATGAGGTCCCAGGACCGATTATCAAAGCATACAGTCATAAATATTACCGCAATAAATAATGGATCTTAGCACTAACACTTTGGCATTAAGGAAGTGAAGAGTTGTGGATTTATAGGCTCCAAATCTTCCAGATGTTCCTGAACAGGAATTCATTTAAATAACATAAACTTTAGACCTTAAAAAATATCTAAAACTGGAGAAGCAGCAGGCTGCAGTAGTGGCATCATATGTGTTTTCAAAGGCAGCACCTTAGTCCCAGCATTTTACTATACAGGGGTCTTCCAAAAGTTCATGGAAAACATGTATCATGGAGGAAAAAAACTATGCATAGATTTCAATATTTTTTGCACAAAAATTAACTTATCTTTTAATTCTATTTTCCACAAACTTTTAAAAAGTATCCCCCTATAGGGACTTTGATCGAAAGTTTCAAGCCATAGAAATACAATCGTAGAGAATCACATCCTTTGATTTATGGAATCATGTTAGAATGACAGTACAGAATTTAAGGTCTGGAAATTCGGATCTTAGAATTTTGGTAACAGAAAACCACCAGCGTTCCTCCACCCCCCTCCCGCCCACCCCCCAGTAACAGGTCTCAACATATAATCCGGTAAAAATTTAAAAGAAAGCTCTTCGGGAAAACGAAACAGAACGAAACCTGGATTTTCACTTGGATACTTTGGAAGAAGGCGCTCGGGGCTCGCTGGGGGAGTCTGACGTCCCGCTCCGTCCGCGGCAGCGCCCCTCCCCAGGGCAGGTCGTTGGGCAAACGCACAGGACAACCGCCCCCCCCCTCCCCCGCCCTCCCCCAGGTGGGGGAACGTCACGCTTGGTTGTGGCTTGATCTTTCGGAAAGGGGGGCCCCTATCCTGTGATGGGTGATCATTGTCTTTATGTACGGCTGAGCAGTAGGGATTAGTATAACCCTGACCCCTCTCAAAAGAATGCATCCCATGTTTAGACATAAGCCTTCTTTTGGAAAAGCCCTTGCATCCCCTCTATAGCACTTATCGCGACCAGCCTTTCTGGGGTGTATATCATGAATGTTTTGTAATCCCTAACAAGTCCCGTAAACCACGGAGGTGGGAAAATGGCTTCCGGGGAATATTGTCACTGTACGTGCTGTCCTCGAACCTTTCAATCTAAAAACCATAGTCTCTTCCAGAATCAAAGGGAACCTAGAGCCCTGTTTTCCTTGCTAGCTTGAACAATCTCTTCGCGGGAGCTCTAAGGGAGGCCTGTGTCAGTTCGCCGAAACAGAAATTGGTTTGC